GCAGGAACCACCAGGCTGAGAGCCTGGAAAAACCGAGTGGAGAAAGACCTCGCGTTACAGCTAACACAGCAGAAGGGATGCTGCTCATGCCCAGCACGTGCTGGCAATGGATGCGGGATGCCCTGTACCTATTGCTCACCTCTGCTCTTTATCGAGACCTCTGGTGTTGCCCTGCCTCCCCCGGTGCTGCCACACGTGTTTGGGATCCAAACCCAACCTTCTGCAAAGTCTACAAAACACTAACTTATTTCCACAGGGAGGGTGAGACGAGAGGACAGCCTATGTCAGCTCTGCCCTGCCTCCACAGAGGAGGGCGGGCAGCTAAACTAGCAGCAGATCTGTTCTGGTTAATTAAAAATAACCCTCCGGGCTAAACTGAAAGAAGGGAGGGCAGGAACACACTAATGTCTCCACCACTTGTGTGTAAGCAAAACAGTAATCCAGCCCTCGCTGGGCTTGGCTGCCCTAGCTATCAAAAAATGTTAGTGACGCTTCAGATTAACGGCTTGGCTAACGATGAGCAAGGAGTGCTCCCAGCAGCCATGCCCAACACACCCCTCTCACTGCAGCAAATACCAGCGGGGCCATGACTTGAAGACACTTGTTATCGTTACAGGGGAAGCGCGTGGTCAACAGCCTTCCTGCGTCTGACCGCTGAGAAACGCTGGTGCGCGCAAGTGGCTCCCACGTCAGGAAACCCAGCCGTGAGGGCAATGAAGAGCCACACCAGACCCGCAGCTGGTGGCCTTTCCTCCAGGCAGCTCATTTGCACCAGCTGAAGGCCTACATTCAGTGTCCTCCCTGTGTCACAGCCCATTTGCATCTTCTGGCAGCTTCCCAGGGCTTGCCAAGTTGCTAATTGCTCACAGGTTGCAGCAGCTCTCTGCTTCCTGCAAAGCGATGCAAATGCAGCGGCTCTCCGTGGCACGGGAGAGCGAGCGCAAGAGGGAACGGAGAATAAGGAGGAAATTAAAATTGAAATCAAGGTCTAAAACAACAGGGAGGAGACGGGAGGGAGGAAAGACCCCGAGCTAAGTGGCATGGCTCTTTGTGCCTTTGTGTTTGGAGGCCCCATGCCAGATGCTGCTCAGGACTGAGCCAGCGAGCATGTGTGAGCAGAGGTTTGGGAAGTGCCTTGTGCTGCTCCCAAGACCCTGGTCCCAACTTCCACCAGCTGAGCAGGGATCAGCCTGGCTCTCCTGGCTCTGCAGAGCACTTTCTAAAGCACTGCCAGGCAAAACCAAGCTCCCGACACCTTGATCTGGCACACAGCTGCCCAGGGATCAGAGGCAGGCAGGCAGATGGCCCAGGGGTGCAAAATACACAGGAACGGGCATAACTCTGGCTCTGGGGTGCTCAGTCTTGCTGGGAGAAGATAAGAAACTGTCCTCTGCTGCCCCTTCCCTGTGATGAGTTGCATGGAAGCACTCAGCATGAGCAGAGACAGGCTTTTGAAAGGCACTGGAAATATTCTTACCTTTCATCTGCACAAAGTCGAGCTGGTGGATGGACTGCAGCAGAGGGGCGTTGTCAAGGTTCAGGTCGAAGTCCGTGGTCATCCGGGGTGTGAGCGTCCCCTTTCCCCACTGGTCCTCGGTTAAGTGCACTCTCCTGATGAGAGCGTCGGAGATCTGGTGGCGAGGAGCAGCCTCAGCTACCGAGGGCCACCTGGGCTGCGTGCCGTGCCTTGTCCCTACCCTGCTCTCCAGCTTCCCCATGTCTCCCAGGCTGCCACTTCTGTCCCTGACTGCCAAAGGCTGGGACATCACACGCCATTTCTGGCATCGCCCTTTGCTGCAGGCTCAGATTGGCAGAGGGACCCCAGGAGCTTCGGGGATGATTTTAAAGGCAGGGTCTAGTACCAAAGGGACCAGCCCAGGAATGAACAGTGGGATGCAGTTCCCAAGTGCTGTATGTCCGTCTCTCGCTGGAGAACCACGGCACAGCACGTTATGATCACTGCTCCAGAGACACACCACCCTCTGCTGCAACCCTCTGACTCTGCGGGCAGAGTAAGAAATGTCCCTGGCCTGGTTCTGCTTCTGTCCTGCTGTGACTTGGAGCCGATGAGAGGCTGGCCCTTGATTTTACAGCTGGAAAAGCTGGGGACATCATCCTTGGTGTAACTCCCCCAACTCTGCTGCGTTACCCCAGGGCTCTGGTCTGTGCAATGCCCTTCCCGCTCCCCTGGTAGCCCAGATGCGAGCAGCTCCGCACCAACCTGCAGGAAGCCGCTGGGGTCGTTCTCCTTGATGACCTCCAGGCAGTACTCCATCAGGCCCGTGGTCTGGCGCAGCTTGACCGTGCAGTGAGAAATCTGGTCTCGTACCACCTGCAATGGGACAAGGAGAACAGTGTTGCTCAGAGCTGCGGGGTTTCGGGAGACGGGGAGCAAGTGGGCTTCGGTGCTGCGTGGGCACAGGGACAGGGTCAGGGCAACACGGAGGGAGACAAAGACTCAAGGGAAGAGAAGGCGGCAGAACTGGCCAAGACTCGTACACCGAATTCCAGATCTTTTAAAACCTTGTGAACAAGAAGAAGCCTTGTTTAGCTCAAATTAACCCACGTAATTATTCAAAGCAGTAGGGCAGGTCCTTGCTCTGTCTTTAATTAAGACAGCTTCCAAATGACAGCTTAGGAACTCCATGCAAAGCAAATGCCTACCTCCACAGATACGCAGCCGCTGCTGCAGCCTCCACGGGGCTGCCCTATCCATCCTCGGCGCAGAGCCGGGCTGCGGGGTTGGCTCTGGGGCAGCTGTACCCAACCGCCCCGGGTGAGGAGCGAGCCTGGTATTTTGGTATTTCCAAGAGAAATGAATGCACCACCTCCCCCAGCTTCAGCTCTGACTAACGATCTGTTTGAGATGCTCATCCGCCCATCAGCTGAGATGGACCACGCTGCAGAATTGCCTCATTTTCTCCACCGGCTGCAGCCTGGGGATGAGCTCAGAGGGAGAGGTGTGCCAGCGAGAGGAGATAAATCCTGCACGCCTTGTGGCAGGGCTCCCTACAGTGTGCCAAGCTCCGCCTGGGGCTGCCCAGGCTGCACGCTATAGCACTTCTTGCACCCACGGATGGTTCCCCCAGCAGCAGAATAAAACCAAGCGTGCAGTTCGGCCGGGGCTCTGCTGACCTTCCCTGCAACACAGCGGGGAGGACGGGGTTCAGGCTCTGATACCGCGAGGGTGTATTTGAAGGTTGGCTGGTCCCTCAGAGCGACTGCAAGGTGCTCCCTCAGGCTGAATCCCCGCAGAAGGAGACAGTGCAGGTCTGTGCCCGGCATCAGCGGGATTTCTTCAGCGGAACAGACAGGCGGACCTGGCGGAGGATGGCAGATTGGCAGAGCAGCTCAGAAAGAGAGGTTTTATGCTTTAGAGGAACGTGCCCATGGTGTATAGTGTTTTTTTTCTGGAAGAGCTTTAAAGCTGTGTAAAGTTCTTCACTAGGACTGAACAAAGCTATGCAGCTCTAGAGAGCACAGCTATTCAGGGCGTTACAGGCAGTAAAGATGAGCTTTGCATCAGCATCTGCAGCTGCAGCGTGAGGGAAAAGACTGCAATAAGCAACGATTAACATTTCTGAAAGCGCAGCTGTGTCCTCGGCAACGCAGTAGGTGAATCCCAGCGCTCAAGTGACCACGGCGGGCTGAGGAGCACCTCCTCCTGTGAGCATCCCTACGGTCTGAGGGACAGGGAGGTGAAACCAAGCCCATGTCAGCCTCCTGCAGTGAATGAACCTGGGTTTCAAGGGGGGTGATGACTCCTGCAGGGCAATTAATCACACCATGTGTTGCTTAATTATCATTTAATCACCTCAACTTAATCACCTAACAGGAAGAAAAGAATCACCAGTCCTGCAACTTGGGGCAACATATCTGCTTCTGTGAAACGCTATGACACACTCTCCTAGCCAGCTCCTTTTTTTTTTAGGGAGTTGCTGTTTGCAGAGCCACCCCTGAGACTGCTTTTAGCAATCCCAGCCTGAGGTTTCTTCCCCGGCGCTGGGGAGCCAGCGCACCCCATGTGCAGGGCAGACAAGGCAGCAGAGGGAGCTCCTATATTGCTCCTCTAGACCAAGACGTGCGGACGGAGGCTTGCAGAGATGCTGGATCGCTCTGAGATGGGGCTAGCGAGCAGCATGATTGGCCCACGCCGGTTTGGGCCTCAAACGCTGTCATTAGAGGGAAAACTTCGTTCAGTGCCAGTTTCTAATGCTTGAGCGCACTGGAATGGGTCTGCTGGGATGGAGCAGAGGCAGCAGCTAGTCCTGGAGATCTGGACGCCTACGCTGGCCTCTTCCAAAAGCGTGGGCAAGCCCCTGGACGCCCTTTCTCCGTGGGGATGGTCGGTCCTTCAGGGTGGGATCCAGAAGGTGCAGCGGGGGTGCAAAGCCTTGCAGCAACCTGCAGCCCCTGCCATGCCACGCGAAGCAGCCCCTTGCATTAATTTGATCTCTTCTGCCCAGAGAGAGGGTGTTGGGGGGTTGTTCTGCTCTTGCAAGGGTTGTCAGCCGTATGGATGGAGGGTCTCTCAGCTGCAGACCGTGGTGTTACCACTGAGCGTGAGATGAGCCCAGCCTGCGGGCTCTAACCTTGCTGTCTGAGCGTATCCTGACTGCAACTACCGAGCCACAGCAAGGTTTTGCATTCCCTGCCTGCTGGGCTGCAGATGGGCAAGCGGGGATCACACCCTGAATGCCCAGAAAAGCAGTCTCCTTCTTTCATGCGAGACCCCTCTCCGGGGAAATGCACGTGCTGCCAGGAAGGCAGCAAAGATGAGACTGGTAAAACAATCTTCTTATCTTCTCTGCAGCTTAAATCTCTGTCTGGTTTGCCCAGGATAATGAATTTGTGAGCCTCTCCCTGCCCGAGTAGATGCTTTCGAAGTATTACCAGCAGAATTGCCATCTGCTACCACCAGCCAGACATGAGCCTCTAAGAAACAGCATTTGCTCGGTGAAGACAGGCACGGTGTCCCAGGACAGCCCCGGACACACGGCTGTCTCCCTGGCACCCTCTTGGCCAAGAGACGGGGGTTACCGGTGAGGCAAGGGGACCTGCCACCACTGCGCCGGTGTCAGCCTGAGACCTGCGGGGCTCCTGGCACTGTCTGGGAGGAGGGAGCCGGGGCACAGAGATGTCAGCCCCAGCTTTGCCCCTCTGCCCTGCCGGCTCCCTGGCAGCAGGGTGAGGCGAGGCCAGCGCCAGGCAGCTCCAGGCTGTCATTACCGAGGTTCCTGGCAGATTATCCCTGCTAATAAAGGTCTTGCCTGGAGTGGAAGTGCTTGCTGCAGGCTGCCACTGAGGCACGTAAATCTTTATGCATGTAGGTGCAAACTGAGATACAAGAAATTCTGTTTAAACATAAGTAAAAGCTTTTTTTCCCATAAAGGTCATCAAAGACCAGAACAGAGAGCCTGTGGAGTCTCCAGCCTCAAACCCCGACCGCAGGCAGCCTGCTCTAGGTGCTCAGAAACTGCACCCGAAGCAGCGGCTGTGGCTCTGTCCCAGCCCGCACCTTTAGCCCCAGCGATCCTGCCCTTCTGTAACTCTGTGATCCCCTTTGGGGCTCCAGCACCTCTTCATCTGGAGAACTAGAGCATGAAACAGCAGTTTAATTGCAGCACCTACACAGCAGGCAGCAGCAATCCACGTTCCCCTTCACCACCAATAAACTGTTTTCAAGTCAAGACGAGGGATCTTTGGTTGGGACCTAGTGGGGCTTCGTGGCTTTACAGCTTCTGCGCTGCACACAAGAGAAATGGGACGCAGACAGGAACAGTGAGACTCCGTGAGTCGCTTTGATTAGGGAAATGAAACGTTTTAAAAATAAAACATAACCATCTCCCACATGGTCTAAACCCAGTGGAGCCAGTGAAGCCCACAAGTTTTCCATATGGCCTTAAGCATCCTGTGGTTCTCCCCATGCTTCCCACTCCCTGGGGTACCTCAGCTCCCTGTTACCCCAGGAATGAAGAGTATTTCGATGAAGAGAGCTGAAAGCAAAATTTGGAAGTTCCTCAAGCCTTTGACTCATGCAAGCAAATGAGGCAGTGTTGGGCTGAGGGGCAGCCTCAGGAGGCCTCAGAAGGCTTGCAGGATTCACCAGACCGCCAGGAAAACCAGGCTGCCACCAATTCTGCATGGAGGTAGATGATTTACAAACCTTTCCTGAAACTACGCGGGTAACACACCCCGCTGAACGGTGGCATCTTCTGGGAAAGGGCTGTGGCTCAGCTGGCGAGGGGATTTGGGCAGCTCCATACATTTTGTTTGTGGTCATTTTTACGAAGTGCCTTTTTTTCCCTCTAGGTGCCAATGGAGGCAACAGCCAGAACCTGCCTGCTAATTACAGCCTATAAAAAGGACTTTTGCTGTGCACTCACAGCAGTTCACTACTACCTTAAAATAGGAAATTTATTTCAAGAGCTTTTCTTCCCTGTAAGATGACATTAACTATAATTTACATTTTAATACAGCTCCTAGAAGGTAATAACATCTGCACTCATCTCTACTTAAATGTCTTCCTCACCTTCCTCCTCTTTTTAGTACTTGGCTAGATAACCGGTTTTCAAAGCACTCAACCTCACTTGAACCTGGGCTCCTCAGCACCCGGGACGAGCCCTGCCGGGGACGTCACGTGGAGGACACGGAGCCTCCTTACCCCCGGCACACCGTGGCCGGGGTACGGTCACCTGCACGGCTGTGGGGACGGAGGGTGGCGGCACGGGGAGCAGTGCTGCTCTGCTTCGCCGCAGTGCTGCAATCCCAGATGGAAAAATCCCTGGGATAGATCCCGACGGTTTGATTGTGCTGAATCCGACAATCACACGTCCTCCGAGCAGAGCATTTCCAGGTGGATGTTTCCATGGTGACTTGCCTCTCGCTACTGGGAGAGGAGGCTCAGGCTGGAGCTGGGAAAAGCAGAGACGCTGCATCAACACCCCCGTGCGATGCTGCCGGCGGCACGTCCTGGAGGCTTGCACAAGCCCGTTTTGATCAAAGGTACCGGCAAGCATGGGAAGCGATATGGAGACCTGGTCTCCAGTGTGGAGCCACTGGAGAACGTGGCACATGGACAGATGCTACGGAGGACAGACTTGATCCAGCTCTTCAACAAAACAAGTGGAAAGCTTGAGGGACATCAGAAAACCAGAGGCATTCCCTGCAGCCCGATCACAGCTCTGCAGAGCTCCTCAGCCCTGGCTCTTGGTGCCAATGCCCTTCCCAAAGTGAGCAGACACCATGGCAGGGGGAAAACAGGGCAGGGTATGGAGGGATTTGTAAGGGAAAGCAGCGGTCTGGTATCTGCATCTTCGGGAAATAATGCGTCTCCTGATGAGCTTATCTGACCTGTGTGTCCTGTCTGGTGTTTCCATACAGAAATGGTACGGTACAGGAAACCAAACCTGTGCTTCTGTCCTGTTCCTCATCCTTTCTCACCAGTCCTGATCACCAGTGATCTAATCCAATGGGGGACACCAAATTCCCTTGGGCTTCCTGGAAAATCCTGACTGTAACCCCTGAAGAAGGGTCATGGACCAGCAATTCATTTCTGGAGATCATTATGGACAGAAGCTCTGGGTGAGCAGTTCCTATATAATTAGCTCCCCTGGGAAATGTGACGACCACTGTTTGCCTGCAAGGGCTCTGCAGCCAAAGCACTGTGGGGAAATCACAGCAAAGGCACCCCATGACCTGAAGGCCAGAACAAGGCCAGAATTGTCCACCACGCTGCCGAGAGCTTAAAGGAGGTGCACACAGAGCTCAGTCCATGTGTACTGTGAACTAAGGAGAGATTTCTCCCTGGGAAAACACCGCAGGGAAGCCTCTGTGTCCTCTGCTCAAAACGGCCTGTGCCGTAGGGCATCTTCCCCTGGGGAAGACCGTACTGGTTCTTGGAAAACCAAGGCCAGCAACGAGGAGCAGGACAGACAAGGAGGTCTGTCCTGGAGGTGGAGCGGGCACCCACTGCTCCTCCAGATGCTATTTTTTAAAGCCTGGGTTCTTAATCTGAATCCGAGTGTAGGGGGAGGCTGGGGAAAGGCAGGGAAACATCCCTTCCAAGTTCATTACCTCCCAAACCTCTCCCTGCTCCAGAGCAATTAGTGTTGGCCCACAGGCAAACCTGGATTTGTGCCTGCCTCCATGAAATATGTGTCAAGCCAAAGTAGGTCAGTCCTAAAGCCGAGCCCAGCCCAATTCTGGGCGCCGCACAGGAATGGGAGCTTGGGCTCCCCGGTGAAAGGCACCCGTGGCACGGCACCAGCCGGCAGGCTCTGTCCCTCTGTGCCTCTCCTCCTGGCTCACACGGTGCCATACCGTGCCGTGATGGCCACCAGCAGGGAGGAGGGGCAGCCCACGGAGAGATCGGCTGCAGCCAGGGCACTGTGGCTCCACGCTGGCTGCTGGAGCAACCAGTTTGGATCTGAAAGGGCTCCTGGGCGGCACAGCTACGTCTCACCGGTCATTCTATCTGCTCTTCTCCTCTTCAGCTGACTTGCCCTGGGGACATGGCAGTGGCTAGAGGACATGCGGGCCAGGCTAGGATGCTCCGGACTGGTCTCTTATGGGAAGGGGTGAAGCTATCACCACAGGCCAGCAACTGACGTTGTCCTGTCCTAATGTGAACATCAAGCAGGACAAGCCCCGTGGCCCTGCAGCAGGACCCACCACGGGTCCAAATTCAGCGCAAAGCGTGTGCCAGGGCACGTGCAGGAAGAGACGGCGCTGAGCATGCAGCATGCTGCTGCGGACGGGGCAGGCGAGGTGGGGAGGCAGCCTCTCTGCTGCACAGTCTCACACCTGGCACACCGTCATTCCTGACACCCTGGAAGGATTCCTGCTCCCTCTGCAACACTTCCAGGGCTCCAGAGCCTCAGGGAGAAAGCCGAGGGCTTTGTTAACCCCCCCAGCCTGCCCCAGCCTCGGCAGCGGGGGGGATGTCCCGTTGGGAGGCAGCTGCTCCAGGCACAATGCTGCTCCCCTTTCATGTCTCCTCGCATTCCCCTGACCCCTTCAGCGAGGCCAGCCCAGCCCGTGCCCAGCTGGAGCTGCAGGTGCTGCCTTTCATAGAATCACAGAAAAGACCCTTAAGATCATCGAGTCCAGCCGTTACCCCACAAC